GTTCTCCAACTGATTGAGCATTGTTATTCTCTCATTTTATATTTCACTCTACCCCTCGGTGGCTGCCCGTGTGTATCTCTGTTCTCTCTATCGTTTCTCTCTCTCTATCTCTCTCGCTCTCTCTTGCTCATTCTCTGTCTGTCTCTCGCTTTCTCTCTCGCTCTCTCCCTTTCTCTGTGTGTTTGTTTGTCTGCGCGTGTTGATTGCTGTCTTTCTATTTTGCTCTATGTGAGTTCAATATGAGTACCCTGAGTGAGTGTGGGTGGTTGGAGGGCACCACTGGTAGGTCCTACTTCTTTACTTTCCCTCTGTTATTTCTGTCTGTCCCAGCACCAAATGACCATTATGTCGATGTGCTTCTCCTCACTCAAACAAAATAAAACAAAACGAACAGTGTGTGGTTGGCAGATGCTCTCATTTTCTTTCACAGTTGATTGTATGAAGCGTTAAACCCCATTCCCGTGGGTTTTTGGAGGGTGATCTTGTTTGATTTGCTCATTGTTTCCTATCAAGCATTCTGTCGTCCGCATTTCCCCACCTCCATTTCTGTGTATGTTACTCTTCAGCTTAAATAATAAGCCATTTGTGTTGCATCTGCCGTAAAACTTTTACTAAAGCTTTTTTTTAAAGCAACAAAAAAAAAACCCGTACCACTTTTTTAAAAAATCGTATTTTGTTATTTTCAGATGAAGTGCTGTACCTGATCTCACTGAACACACAACCTCGACAGCCTGTGGTCCCGCTGACAGAGCAGAGTATAGACTAAAGCTCAGGTGTCAGACGTTCTGCGACGTGAGTGCCCTCACGTGTTCACGACTCTTGTGGGTCTGGCGTCGTTGCCAGGGTGGGGAGGACAACGGTATACGAAGCAGACAGTGCCATGTTTAAACTGTGAGTTTTCTGTGAATCCTGAAGAAGGCCAGTTGGAACACCCGTGTCATTGTGTTCATTTGCAGCACATGTGTGTACATTTGGATTTCCTCTTGAATTATGGTCCCCCTTTATGAAGATACAGTAGAGATTTTGTGAAAGTTTACTTCTTTGAATATGTTACAAACCTTCCAGTTTTGAATGAGGTTGAAGAATGCAAGTGTTGTGCTAGCAATCGTCATATGAAAATTAGAAGGGTTGTATAGACTGCATTTTATGTACTTTTGAGATATTGGACGTCAAAGTTTGTAAGTTCTAAATACAAACGCAGAAAAATTTTTTTTCTCGTAATGGCTTTTTTTGCAGACCAGATTAGTCAATTGAGAACAACGCATGGATCACCGTGCAGGGTAGTACATTGGCGATCGAAGCTGTAACTCAAAACATCCACAAAACGCAGTTCGAACCTTTTAAATTTCATGCGACGAATTTTCTTTCTTTCTTTTTTCAAGATGTGATGTTATCTTATTTCTACTGGGATCTTGGTCGACTGCCCTACTGGAACTGGTAGCGTTGTGAGTTGCTTGTGTTGTTTTTTTCAGAGGTTGAAGGGGTGGGATAGGGTTCGTTTCTGCCAGTAAATTTGTACTGTGGTTGAACGTGTTTTGTTGGTCACAAGGAAACTATGTGGTTTATAAATTATTCCTTTTTCAAACTGAGTTCATGATGATACTACTGTCAAATAAATGTGGTCAGTATTTTGATTAAACAAGAAATCACATGCTGTTGATATACTATTCCTATTTAACATTTCTTTTCTTGAAAAAGGTTACTCATGGTGCTAGTGCTTGTACTGATGATGGGTGAATCTGTCCTGACCCTAGAAATTCTGGGAAAATTCATGAGTCTGTACTGATACACCGAAACGCAATTTGTCCTATTGATTTTTTCTCGTGTCATACCTTCATGCGTTTTATAAACCCATAAGCACGACCTCAGTGGTTGTATTCATTTATTAGTTGCTTTATAGTGCTTTGTTTGTCAGTAGTAATTCAATTCGATGCTGGTTCTCATTAGAATTCTGGATTAGTCTATTATATATATACAATTGCTATAGATTTATCAACTTGAAAATGAAGTCCCAGTATGATTACATTTATTATTTAAATCATTTTAAAGAGTTTTTTTAACACAATTTTTTGTTTGTTCCATGAGTTGTAGCCAAGATTAAAAATAACTTTCCAGATTTTTATTGATATAAGGATAAATGTGTGGGATGTCGAACTTTGGTCAGCTTCCCGGACAAAGCCTAGCTGTGTTTAGAATAATGTGTTCTTAATATGGGTTGGGGGGGGGGGGGGGGGGGGTTAAATCACATCAGATGTATCTGAAAAAATTACAGAAATAGCTTTTACAAGTTTTAAAGTAATCATCTCAGAAATCTCTCATTTTGCATTATAAAAAAATACTCTGCTACAAGTATTCGCCGGCTGTTCCTTATGGTGCTATGTTAGCTTCATTGATACGTTGTAGGTATCTCTATCCAGTGCTACATGTACATAAAATTAATTATGTGTAATGAATGGGACTTGTAGATAGAGATTAAATTCTTCGAACCGGCCCCTTACATAACCTTACTATGTTAAAAGGGGCACCAAACTCCTACAATACCATACTTTAAAGAGAAAGGTGTAGTTCATGAGCTTCCCCTTCTCTTAGTTTCGCTTTTCAATCGTATCTCTTTTGTGAATTGACTATATATGTCTTTGATGTTTTGTTATACTTTTTTAAAACGTTTTCCATTGATATGTGAATGTTATAGTAGCTCAATCCATGCTCAAGGAGGATGTTTGGAAGAAGGGTGCTGTTAAAAGTTTGGTTTTCCTTTTTTTCTTTGTTTTTTTTTGTGTTGTTCCTTTTGGACGTGGAAGGGTTTATTTTGAACGGTCTGTGGTAGTTTTGATTATTTTTTTTTTTCACACCAGTAAATACATTGTAGAAACATGAACTTAAGATATTGCTACTGGCGTCTGTGGTGTAGCCATAGCAGTATGCTCTTTGTTGTTGCCTGCAGAAGGTGTGAGTTCGTTTCTCCGTCTGTCTGTAGGGAAGTTATATCCCTCTCAGCCTGGGTTGACCCTGACGGACAGGGTACACGTAGCCTATTTTCTCAATCATCTAAATAGTATCAATAGGAGCTCAAGACTTCTTCAATTACATTTTACATTTTGAAATATTGCTAGTAAGTGGAACTAAATTTGTATATATTTTGCTTGATGTGATGAAAACACTTACTGACGAAGAGATAAAGTCTACTTTCAACTCTGATGTTGTAAGATCTACATGTATATGTCTAGAATCAAAATGGAAAAGAATATTGATTTGCTTTGTTTTCATTTAAGTGTGTAGTGCTGCTGGAAAACCTGCTGGCATAGTGTATTTTTTTGTCTGAATGAGTCCTGGGTATTTGAAGTACGACTGGTCTTATCTTTTCCCAGTTTCATAACGTCATATTTATAGGTCAGAGGAAGCGGTTGCGAGCTGTGACAGCATATTTATGAATTTTAAAACGTGGTTTGTTTGGGGTTTTTTCCTCCTTTTTTCTTGGGGGGTGCAGCACGTCAATGTTTCAAGTTTTGTTTGTAAAAAGGTTTTTGTATCGTGATGTGGGTACATTATCTTTGAGTTATCTCTACTAGTTGGAATAGTTTATCGAATTTCATGGACAAATTTTGTTTGATATAGGTGTTACAGTGCCCAATTTTCATTCAGGTCTGTGTTTTAATTATCAAAACGGCAAAGTGTTAGCTGATAAAGTGTGTTGGAAGAAAGTATGTGACATTGAAAAGGGTCTGTTTGTGCTACCCAGTGCACACTGCAAATACGGGTTCGTCGGTTTTGAGCCAGGGCTAGCCAGATTTTCCGTCATAGGTGGCGCAAAAGCTGCTGTTTTGGCACAGTTCGATCAAGTTCGACCATATATTTCAAAATCAAATGCGTGTTTTGCATCAGGGCCGCGTGTCGAATCGGTCTTATTTTGCCAAAATGGTAGCGTTTGCCCCTCCGTGACTGAACAAAAAAAAATTGCGAGTGGTTTGAGGGCGCCGCTGGTAGGTCTTACTTCTTTACTTTCCCCCTGTTGTCTCTGTCTGATGTACTATTCCTCCAGCACAAAAGGACCACTATTGAGTCGATGTGCTTTTTTTTACTCAAACTCAAACAAACGAATTGGGGAAATCTTGCTGGCTCCGACTGAATCATACGTGTTCGATTGGGAGTGTCCTCTCGGTGTAAACTGTCAGGCCTGTCGTTTTGTGTCTCAAGCTGTACTGGCCGGAGAAAAGCATTCCAGCATGTCGGCGGCTGTGGTGCCGTAGGTTTGTTCAGGAGTTTGTTCTGCCATACAGGGGTCTAAGGTTCAAAACCAAATGGGGTCAAAATGGTTTTCTAATCCTTCCTGAAATATTTCCTCTCTCAGCCTCACGGTGTCTTAATTAGGGGGAGGGGGGGGGGGGTTAAATTTTACTCGTGCTGGCAAATATCTTACATTATTTCTAGTAGATTGGTCGCTGCTTATTTTACTTCTTCAAGTGCCAGGTCTGAAACAGACATCGGTGGTCATGGTTCACCATTTATTTCTGTGGTTGGATGCTTTCAAAACACCTGTATTATACTGGTCTTCCCATCACCCATCTGCTACTTCTATTACTAAACCAAATAGACTGAGATGCTTTTTTTGTCAATCGCCTAGACCTTTTATGGAATATAGTGGCATTGACCTATGGCTGACTGGTGAATGTAATGTAATGACTGGTCTCGCTCTTTGCTTTTGTACCAAAAAGATGTGAGTTCCTTTCATATTTGGGGAAATTTATTGTTTCTGGTATTTCCTTCTCTCCCTCTAAGATGCTGTATTTCACAGCCTGGGTTGGTCCTAGCAAGCAGGGTGAGAGTGCATCGCCCCCTAATGGTCTAAATTGTGCCTGTGGGGATGTAAAATATTGTACAATTATATACTACCTTGCCCTAAAGTAATTTTGTTGTTTGGATTTATCTTTCATAAGGTAGGCCAAAAAGGAAATTTTATTGGGAGTGTATTATTGTAATATTGTTTTTTGTTTTGGCTCAGTAAAAAAAGACCATTATTTATGATCAAGTAATGGAAAATGTTGCTCTGTAAAGATGGTAGAGTGCATATGCTCATATCAACTTAACAATGTCTTGTCTATGAGTAGATATATAAACTGTAGTGAGTGTAGACAGAAGTTACAAATTAATTTATGTTTTTGCTCACTCATTTGATACTTTTTTGCACCTTGTTGTTAGATAATCTTGTTGAATTTCTTAACGTCATTTTGTAACCATTTATAGATACACTTTATAAATAACTGACTGACATGTCTTGATGGTACAATTGTAAATATTGGAACTCGGTCTTGCTAAATTATCTATCATGATGTTCATTGTGCATAAGCTCATAACTATTTGGTTTTTTTCCAGAGCTTTGAACTCAAAAGGCTTCATGTGATATATGTTCTTTAAAAAGTGTAATCATTTTAGATTTTATGAGCCAAAGTTATCATTATTGTTTTGTTTGTTCTGCACTTCACTTCAAAAGACTTTGTTAAAACCAAACATGATTTCTTATGGTACCTTTATTATGGCACTCGTTTTGAGCTTGTGCTTGTGTAAAACGGTTTCTTTTACAAGAGTGAGTGACTTTCCACCAAATGTCAAAGCTATGTGTAGCTTTCGAAAATTGTATAGTATAATAGAACGAATTATTCATAAAGGTATAATTTTTTTTTTTATTCAGGTTTCATAAGCAATGAATTAACGAGGAAAGCTTGTTTAGAGTCTTTCCAGAAAAAATTACATTCGCAAATAAGAAAAACCCAACAACCCGTTGTATTATGCGTGAAAATTGTGAGGAAAAATGGGGGGGGGGGGTGGAGTGTATTAATATTATGATTCTAAGGGATTTGGATCAGTTTGATTGCTTTGTACACACTCAGCATCAAAATGAGATTCTCCAAAAGCTTATATTATAGAATGAACACTAACTTGATCGAGCCAATTCTTCAAAATAAATCAGCCAAGTCTTGTGTTTCAACATCGAAAAGTTTTTTTTTAAAGACTCTTTCTGCCTCATTCTAATCTGAATGCACTAGGCATGTGGTTTGTGAGTGCTTTGTGTGTTATTAGAATCAAAGACATCGCCATATACCTGCATTTTAAGTGTTCAAAATTCTGTCTCAAGAGCGCCGGAAACTGTGGTGTAATGGTTGCCTTGAAAACAGATGTGATTGCCATTCTTTTATAAGAAAGATGTTAAATCAAGTATCTACATCTGTCAGCTGGGATGAGATATTCTACATTACCCGGATCTGCCCGCATAGGTATGGTTATTGTAGTCTGCTTGTTAAAGATTTGCGATCAACCAATTCACCAATCAATTCCAATCCAAAATATTTTTAACTTATTGTTAAACAGGTCTCGATAAATTGTAATGAAATACCGAATGATGGAACGATTGTAACAGTTCAATAGAAATCCTGTCCCATAATATTATAAGAAAATTATACATCTACAATTTGGGTGGTTTTTTAAAATCTTGTTGTTAATGCTTACTGCCCTCTCTTCTGCCATATCGTGTTACATACAGGGTAGCATATCTCTTTCTTATTTGTACAAGACATGTCTTTGGAGGCACAACATGAATGAGATTGTACCGATGCTTCCTATTTTGGTTTGTTTGTTTGTTTGTTGCTGGTTTGGTTTGTTGTTGGTTTGGTTTGGTGTTTGTTTGTTGGGTTGTTTTTTGTTTTTTGTTGTTGGTTTTTTGTTTTTTTTGTTTTGGGGGGGGGGGGGTTTT